GATCTGATCGTCGACCACTGATCTGCACTCTTAAGATCACCCTCCGAAAGTAAAGCAAGTTGAACGGTGTGGGCCTGCAAGGATCAAGTGGTGGCGACTGAAAGAAAAAGAATCTGCACTGTTTTCCCGCATTCGCTTACCGCAGTAACGACCGTCGACGAAACGTGGAAAGGTGCCGCCGAAGCGAAAGTCAGTGTTGCTCACTCTTATCCGAACTTGGCATCAGAAAGCGTGGGCGATGGAAAATCGACAAGCAGGCATGGCTTCAAACTGACGCCGTCAAGGAAAAGTGCAAGAGAAGAAAAGACATTATCATACGTTCCTCAGCGACAAAACAGCCGAGAACTGGGAGAACTACCAGAAGGCGAAGAAGGCTGCAAAGAAAGCCGTGGCTATCGTCAAAGCTGCTCACTTCGCCAGCGTTAGCGAGAAACTCGAGACGCGCGATGGCGAACGATATGTCTACAGACTAGCCAAAGCTCGCCATCGCCAACCGAGGATGTCGAGAAGTTTTTCGGCATTAATGACGAGAACGGGCGGCTCCTAATGGACCGCAAGAAGGCAGTAAAGCGATGGCACGACTACTTCGAAAAAATCTCGACGGTAGCATTCTCACATCCGCCAATAATCCGGTCCTGTCTCGAAGATGCCTGTGAAAGAAACAGAGGCGGCGCTGAAGAAGATGAAGACAGGTAAAGCAACGGGTCCCGACGACTTGGCGGCCGATCTGTGGAAGTCACAGTGCTGGCATCCTGCGGAGTGGTTGACGAAGTTCTTCAACCAAGTCGTTGCAGAGAAAGAAGGTGCCTGAGAGCTGGCAACAGAGCACGACGATTCCCATCTGGAAGAAAAGGGCAGCCAGACTGCACGAGCTACCGTCCAATTCGTCTGCTTTCCCACAGCATGAAGATATTTGAGCGAATTGTAGATCGCCGTATTCGTGACATAGTGCAGCTCACCACGAACCAGTGTGGATTTGTAAGCGGCTGTTAGTACCATCGATGCAATACATGCCGCTCGTCTACTGCTAGAAAAACACCGCGAGAAACGGAAGCCTCTGCATTTTGCCTTCCTAGACTTGGAAAAGGCTTTCGATCGCGTTCCGCGTGATGTAATATGGTACGCTTTACGACAACATGGCGTCCCCGAAGAGCTTATTGAGTGGGTTCGCATGCTATACTCGAGCCCAAAGAGCCGAGTGCAAACGTCAGCAGGCACCTCAATGGAATTCCCCATCTCTGTTGGGGTACACCAAGGCTCTGCGCTATCCCCACTCCTTTTCGTTGTCGTCATGGATGCCATTCACGAGATCTTCAGAAACCGGCTCCATGGACGCTTCTCTATGCTGATGACGTGATGCTCGCCTGCGAAGACAAAAACTCACTCGAGCAGCAAGTGCAAGCTTGGGCCGATCGCCTAGCGATGTTCGGACTCAGGTTGAAAAGACCGAGTACTTGACAACCGACTTGAGCGAACACAGTTCGGTAAGAATTAACGGCACAGAGCTATCACGCACGACCACGTTCAAGTATCTTGGATCGGTAATTGCGTCAGATGGCAGTATGAGTACTGAGGTGAACTCGCGTGTGAGTGCGGCTTGGTCCAAGTGGCGTTCTATGACGGGAGTTCTCTGTGACAAGAAAATCCCAGAACGCCTAAAATCGAAGATCTATAGGACAGTCATAAGACCAGTGGCATTGTACGGCGCTGAGTGCTGGCCAGCGACCAGGGATACTGAAGCTCGCCTTGGTGTAATGGAGACCAAGATGCTGCGCTGGATTTGATCGCACTTGCAATGATGTCATACGTGAACGCTTTGGTGTAGCTCCCATTGCTGATAAAATGCGCGAGGCCCGGCTTCGATTGGTTTGGCCACGTTCTTCGCGGAAATGATGACAGTGTTCGCAAGATCGGCCTCAACATAGACGTGCACGGAAAGCGGCCCAAGGGACGCCCGAAACAGCGCTGGCTTGATACGTTGCATGCGGACTTGAAGTTAGATGGTATCCATCCCGACAGGGCATTCAATCGGGAAAAGTCAATATACCACGAAAAGCGGACCCTGCCACCAAGTGGGACGAACGCCAAAGAGGAAAAAAGAAGATGAGGGGAAGATTGTCGATTTGTCTTTAGGTCACGGGCCTCCACAAAAGTCACATCAAAGAAACGTTGGTAAAAAACTTTCTCACTGGTTGACAGTGGTTCTGTTGGTCTAGTCGGATGGGCGCAGCATGAAAAACACAACTCATTGGAACCAATATATTCAATGTACGCATATTACGAATAACGCGATATTAATCGTCTTTCGGTGTATTTACATAAAACGGAACATTTGCACCAACAATAATGGCGGAGTGGAGGGTTACTGGTAAAGGCTGTGTATTTGTTTGGAATATATCTTTTACACCCACTGAAGTTCCGAAGTTTATCTCGCATAAGCTCAAACAAAAACGAAGAGCAATTATTCTTTAAATGAGATCGAATGAGAATGAAGTGAGATCTAATTCCTTCAAGATCCCGAAATCTACCTGCGAATTTCCGAATGCAGTCGAAGTCCTTATTGCTCAATTCTGCTGGACGTCATGAGTGAAGTTCGGGTCACAACTTTGAAATCGTTTCTACCGTTCTGTGAAAGGCCCACGGCTTACATTTCTTCCATCTTCGGCAGCATTAATGCCTTCCGCAGCATCTCTTGTCAGAAGGTACTGTTTCCACTACCGTATCAGAATTCGAAGTTCAAGTCTGTTCTTGTGATCACTTGGGTATTGAGGAGTAGGTTAAAGTTTGGTGTTGTATAAATATCGTTACTGCGAGAATTCCTCGAGCAGATATTTGTGACATATTCTTCTAAACTTACAATGGTCGATAACTAGTGAAAGTACATAAAATTTGGTTTTATCGGGAGGGGGATTGACAAAGGAGAAGATGTAGACGATCGTTCACCTTATTCTTGTGCTTTCATTCTCCACGAACTAGTTGTCCAATAGAGAATGTTGCCTCCCCGTGCTCTACAGGAGTAACGCTGAGCGAGTAGCAGAGCGATTACATGTACACAGAATAGCAAGTCAAATATTTAGGTAATTATGTCAGCCACCCACAATGAAAATCGGTCAAGCATTCGAACCTCTCTCACTTTCTTGGATGCAACGGAGTCTCGGAGTATTTTGAAGAAGATTGATTGTGCAATTAATTTTTACCACCGTCTCCATCGACAGTGGCAGCAGTTTCTGCTGATCCGCCGAGTTCATAAATATGCGCTGAAACACTGCGTGACGTCAAAATGTGTATCGAAGAAGTTAAACCTTGTTCCAAATGATAGTGAAATGGTATCAGCATATATTGTGGATAAGCCTGCTAAATTTTTTGGTATCGCAATTCTTGAGGTGACTTCTTCAGGCCAGGTGCAGTTTTATAAGTTTTTAGTATGCTTTTAGGAAGCCCGCTGTATAATATGTTATAGCATCACCTGCTACGGACGAACTGCGGTGAAAAGTGATTAACTTCTATGTGATAATGATTTTTCCGGAAGCATCCCCTTCATTTCTCTCAAATGTTCTGGAGACCGTTACAGGAAAGGTGACGTCGTCTTTGTAAGACTATGTACGAAATTTTTGCAAGGAGAGATCCGCCTAGTGAAAGGAAACCTTCGCGAAAAACTTCTTGCATTCTTTCTTTTCTCACATGAATGTGTCAGTTGTGATCACTGGAAACAACACACGAAAGTTTCTCACATAAAGATTCGGTTTCCGAAAAGAAACAAACTTTTGAAAAACTACACTTTATGGGTGATCGATGGTAAAAGGCGCGGAGCCAAAGGTGGGGCATGTGAGAGTTTCTATTGACGACACTCCGAGAACCAAGTGGAAGCATTCCCGTGCCTGCATTTGTGACGGATGTGCGACGCACTTTGAAACGCGTAGCAGCCCTTTCGGTTTTTCGGATTTTTTTTTGCGGAAATAAATGCAAGTTTTCTGTTCCTTTCAATGTAATCGTGGATGATTAGTCTCGGGCCAGTGATTTATAGCTGAGAATAGAATCTTGTTTTTTCCGCGCTGTGGATTCCTTTGAATCAGCTGACAGCTGGTTAAGCTGTTCGTTGCGTTGGTCTTTTCAATGAAATATATTTATCGATTCGTTGTTTAAAAAAAGCACGTTCATCACATAAATTGACCCATGAACAGAGGATTTTTATCTTTGGTTAGAATGAACAAAAATGGATGGTCCGCACGGAATTCTATAGGTACAGTGACTCTTAACGACTTCCATTGGGCTTTGAACAAAGTGGCCGCTGCCGCCGTCGTGCCATCCTCGATCAACCTGATACGTCACTGTTTGATCAGGCAAAGCCACAGTAAAGTCGGTTTAAGTTAGAAACAGCACATAGAAGCTAGCCTCAATGATTGCCTTATGAGTGGCTTGTGAGATGAGCGGTGGAGGTGGCTCAGCAATTCCACTGAGGTCGGCATTGAAACCAAATATGTCTGAGATGCCCAGAGAACTGAGAGCTTCCTTGAGTTTGAATGTGGTCTCGATCTTCATCTTTGGAATTGTGACCTGCCAAAAGAGACGAAACTCCTTTGATTTACTTGAGCTCTCAGAATAGTATCGTATTGTATATATGTATGGGAACCCTTGAAGAAAAATTTATAGTAGAACACTCCATAAGAAGGGAGAACATTTCGTATAACTTCCAAGTAAATGCTATGCAAGCAAATAGAATAAACAGCCCGAAAATCAGACTTGACCAATCTTTTTGGTGCATGAAAAAAAAAATAGTTTGAGCATATCTTTGATGGGAAATTTGCATTGAAGTTTATGTAGGATTTGTAGCAATTCGTTTGAAAAAATTTTCTAAAAGAAAGAAATTTCTGAAAGTGTAGTTGGTAGCGAAAGTTTCTTTCAAGCTAATACTTCCTTTCCAAAATCTTAGAGCTATGAACCGATTTGTTCCGTATGTTGTTCATACAGTGAGATGTGTAAGTCAACCGATATACAGATAAACACATTCACGCCGATGGCCGCCCATGTATGGGCTGCAACAACATGCGCTCCTGGGACGATGGCAGCCCATATGGGCTGCCAACTGATAAATCGCTTGCCAGGCGCTAGGAATGGACAGATAGGTGGGCAAACCTCGTAATCGAGTGTAAAATGCTTTTAAATTCCTTCGCGGGGAAAGTGAATAAATGCTCTCTTTTCGTAACCACTATTTGTCGTTCTGATCGAAATCCTACTGTTATATGTTTAGATAATCTTTACGCATTGGACATTGCAGAAATTATTTTGTGACATTCATGTTTTTGTTCATTTACAAAACAAAATCTGCGGTTATGTGGTGAGGCGGCGGCGCCCACAAAATCGCGTCCGTCCCACGCGACCGAAAAGTGGAAAAGGGGCGTCGTCGT